AATCGAACCGAGGCTGTCTGCATGGCAAGCAGGTATACTTTACCACCAATCTACGTTATTGCTTGAAATCGTATCGAAAAAAAAACAAACTAAATGTCATGTAATGGGTCCACCCATTACATGACACCCATTACATGCTTATGTAATACTGCGTGGCAGAAAAGTAGAATCACGCCCTGTGTCAAAACACGTGAATTGCGAGAGGAATGGTTGTCTTGAGGCGCACCAATTATAAAGTTTTCAGACATACTTAATTGTCATCATCTGCATTCATTAGGGGCCCTGCGACAGTTTCTAAGTAGCCATGGAATGGGTTCACTAAAGGAGCTTATTGCCTGAGAAATTCACCAACGCCGAAAAAAAAATTAAATCCATCCAGCACGAGCACGAGTTAGATATACTCATCGCACGCTGCAATTGCATTCAATCACGCCGACGAAAGCGCTGGAAGCTAAGCAAGGAGGGCACTTGCGCTTGTCGACATTAAGCACTTTTTCGCTTTTTTTTTCTTTGAATGCGCAGCTTTTCAGCGCGATCACACGCGCATCCGTGGACAAGTCGCGACGGCTCCAGTAACGACCAAGCGCGCCATGCTCAAATCAGCCAATTAATAATAATTGGCCTGAGACGCAGTGATTTTGTTTATGCCTGTTGCGTCATTTGCAGAGAGAAAACTCTTTTGGCTGGCTTTAAGAATTTATTCTAAACATCTGGCCACGTGCTGTGCTATAATATATGGCTTGCGTGTTCCGGGGAGCCTGGACTACCAATCGGCAGCGTTTCTGACAATGCTCGAAAGGTGTTGCAGGGCCCCATTGATAGGGTGAGCAGCGTGGTTCGCGTATTTTTACGGGCACTCAATGCACCCTTCGGTGTTTGACAAAACTGATGCCGTAGTGGTCACGTAACGACACTTGCAGCAGCCAGTCATTCGTTTCCTTACGGTGCAGTAGAGACGTCCACGGAAAAGCGAAGAAAGACTAGGAGGTCATGCGTGCGAGGGCCCGACTGTGATATCGCATGCTACTTTTGATGGCAAAGCACAAGCGTCATTCAAGTTTTCTCTTTTAGATGCGAAGCAGCTCTTTGACCTGTCTGTTTAACGCTGTCCCGTGCGTCCGCACAAACTCCCTCGCCGCAGGTGTTGCAGCGGTGCCAAGTAAGTGAAGTCGCAACTGAACTTTTGACGTCCCACTCTCCTTCATCCTCAGCAGCTGCCGGCTCCTCCTTCCGCTCACAACCTCTCGATTCACCCTCTTTACTGCCCGCAATGCTCCACCGCACGTCTAGTGGAAACACTAGACAGATTTAGTTGCGTGTCCGCAATCAAATCGCGTCCTGCCATTGCAAATGGCTAGCAGGCTGCTTCCGTACGGCTGCTGTGGACGCGTGACTAAATCTGTCTACTCTTTCGGCTAGCTTACATCTGCAGCTGATGAAACTTGCACGAAACCCAAGCCAGCTCACTTGTTCTTGCATTTCAAAGAAACGTTTAGTCGAGTACACGCTACACCGAGTTTCGCTTGAAACCGTTCTTCCCGCACCCGCGTCAACGCCCGTTTCATCCGGGTCAATGCCGGGAGCACCGCAAGTGCTTCGCATCCCATCGGGGTTCTCTTCGAGGAGAAGGCCCACATATATATATGCTTTTCACAATGGATAATGTGTCAGTGACAAGCCAAATATTCAGTAGAAACTGACCCTCAAAACATATTTTTATGTGCAAAATATGTTGTGTTGAAAAAGTAACTCTCCACCTACGGATTCCACCACAAAAACATACATTAACCTCGTAAAATGGAATAACTAAACACTTCTATGTGGGTACAAAAGCTTATCCGCACCCCCACGCCACCCTAAAGAGAACGAAATTACCATAACACTAAAAAAAAACTACAATCAAAATCGTGCTGTTTCCCGGTTCAAATTAGGGAGTGGTATGGAGCGGATATAAATTGCATGAAAAACTTGCAAGGAAAATACGTACATGCACATTAGAACACATTCTCTGGGACTGCGGTTTACTGGGGCCCGGCATTACGCGGGACCGCTTGGAAAGACTTATCAAATCAACTACTTACCACAATCAAGTCCTGGTTGTCCAGTACGCCCCCAATTGTGCCAGGAGGCTCGACCTGCAGCGGTGGGCACTGTTAGGGTGAACACGCGAGCACGTGGCCGACGGCACTATCATCGCCGCGTAACGCCCATCGTCATAACGATTGCTCATGCGCAGCATGTGCTCTGCGATCATGTCTGCGATACACTTTTTCCACTACGCGCCCCACGTCATGATTACGCTTGTTTGCCGTCTGCTAGCCTTATTTTTTTCTGTCAAACTAGTGCATCCTTCACTTCAAGATTCATCTGGATAAAAATTGGTGCGTGAATGCAAAATTGAGTATAGAACAGTTTAAATTTCGACTATTAACGAAAACTGAAAAGATGAAAATAACTTAAATGCAGGATGCATCAGCTTCGTCGACAAAAAAAGTCACAGCTTTGCCGTTAAGGCGAAGCAATGAACGCAATAGCAACAAAATGGGAGGTCCCGCGAAGAATAGCAAGCAGATCAAAACGTGCCCCGCGTTTCTCACGCCCAAATGACATACGACATGTAGTCACAGTAACAGTTGAACGCGATTAAGCGTCTCAGTTGTTACTTCGCTGGGTCTGAAAAGCACGCCCTTTTCGCAAACGGAGACTTGTGCAGCCAGTGCAGTGGACCTTTGTGCGACCGGTAACTACAATAGAATCGTTTTGGTGAAAGCCAAAGGCGTACGATTGAGCGTACTCTCTCCGCGTGGCAAAGTACGTGGGAGATGAGAGCGCGCGCCGCCGCGTCATGACGATATGGTGGCGCACGCTCATTGCGCCATCTCGCTGGTAATGCTGAAAGCACGATAGTTCGCCCCATGATGCCCATCACCAGCGGTAATTGATAGACACAAATAGCTTGCCGTTCAAACGTTTGAGGAGCTCCTTCATTGCTCAGTGGCTAACACACCTCGCACTCACAATACAGAGGTCGGACGTTCGATTCCGTGAGGCAAAGTCTTTTTCTGGATAAATTTTTTTCTTTCGTTTTCATATATGTAGATACGTATGCATATACCGTGAATGACGGCGACAAAACCCAGGCGAGAGTGTCCATATAATCGCTATCGCAATAAATTGCATCTAGCAGACAACGAACAAGCGTATCCATGACGTGGTGCGCGCGTAAAGAGTGTACTGCAGCACACATGCAACGTTTCCAACGATGGTTTTTACGTGGCACTTACAGTGCCGTCGGCTACGCGCTCGCGTACTGACCTTAACAGTGCTCACCGCTGTAAATGTTCCATCGGGGAGTAGCCAGGTTGGCTTGCTCGTGTCATGTACAGGATAAATAATAGTCTTTAAAAAATTTATTACTTCGCCTGAAAGTTAATTGACCCTCAAAGGAGCCCAGCAGCACTTTTTGAGCGTGGCCGATCGGTAGTCGAGGTTCCCGAGAACACACGAGCCAGTATAGCGCAGCACACGGCCTGAAATTTACAATTGGTTGTCTAAGTTGATTACGAATTGCGTTCTCTACTCTCGACTAATGATGCTATATACTCATAAACCATTGCGTCACAGGTTCAAGTATGCCATTGGCTGAATTGAGAATGGTGCGCCCGAGAGTTACTGGGGCCGCCGCGGGAGGTCGCGACGTGTCCGAGCATACTTGCGCGGCAAGTTCTCAAGGTCACGTGGCGCGCTTTATTTCCCTTTGTATCATCCCTCCCAGCTTAGCACTGTTGGGGCCGCGGCGTGCAACAAATTTTTTGCAACTCCTATCGCACTTAACGGGTTCTAAATATTTTCGCGGCACTCAAATAGACAGACAATAAGCTCTTCCGGTGAATCCATTCCATGGCTACTTGGAAAAATGTCGCAGGGCTCTTCCGAGCTCCGAGACTGGATAACTTGAACCAGGATGGTTGTTTTTCTACCAGTTTCCTTTTAAAAGATTTTATAGGTACTTTCCGAAAACGGTAAGTGCTCAACTGGAAGTGATTGAAAGATACTATTGCTCTGTGCTTGAGTCACCGAACGACAAAGGGCCCCTATGCACTCACCTAAAAGTACCTGAAAGCGGAAGCCATACCATGTGGCTACCTCCGTCATGTGAGCCGCAGCAGTTCGTAGAGGTTGTAGCTGTTGCCGATGATGATGGTCAAGTGTAACAGCTCATCCATATGCAACGGGTCAGCAGCTTTCAACCCCTCGTTCACTTCCCAAAAGAAACGACTGCTCGTTTATCTTCAAAAATTGAAAGACCAATACCACTGCTATAATACCGACTCCAGTGCAGGCTGTGAAGAGCCAGAACTGCGTGCGACCTGTTTGAGATGCTTGAGATAGAAAAATAAACACAAAATGAAGTTCGTCTGTCCTGTGGCTTTAAGAGCTCGTACGAGAACAGCCGAGCCCAAAGACGTAACAGTAGCTTATCGAATGCTCAACTCGTGCGATCCGAAAAAATTAGTTTCTGCTATTCTCATGCATATGCTGCATAGATACAACCTCGGCTCTCTCTGCATTGTCTTCAGTGCCAAATCAACAGACATGACCTTCAATATAACATAAGCCTGGCATGCTGCTAGTCGTTTCGTGGATTCAGCAAAATTTCAAACTACATAATGAAGATGGGTGAAAATACACACACGATATGTAGACTTCCCACAGACTTTCACTTTGTGAAGAAGACTTTTACATTGCGTGTGATATTCGTGCCATTTTGTTTGTGCAGCTGTGCTCCTGTTCTCTCAACAGTTTAAAACTTTGATGAGGAGTAACAGCCCCCAAATGCTTCTAGCACTTGACAGTGATCACAAGTGTAATCCTGCGCACATAATGCGTCATGAAGGTGTCACCAAGACCACTTGTTTCAATCTGATCATTCGGGTAACCATTAATGTTTATGTAGAGGCAGTGCAAGTTCTTCAAGAAATCACACATTGACAAAAAAGTGGCTAGAAACATTTCTTTTATTTGCCTTCCTTTACGAAGACTTTTCTGCATGCAATCCGAAAAGACTGCAGGCATTTAGACACACTGGAAAAAAATATCGAGGGGCCTCCTTCGACACTGCGAGGCACGACGACATCTGTTGATTTGGAACACCTACAAATCGTTTTGAGATAATCTCCCTAGCTCTGTTAAACCCGATTCGTTGGATAAGTATGCCAAAAGAAACGCGACAAATTCATTAGTAATCTTTCCTCAGCCCTTTATACAAAGTAGTCTCTTTCTTCACATCACATGCTGCGGCATTGTCAAATCACTGAAACGATGGCCACTTTTATTGGTACCTTACGGCCATGCCTGCATTGGCCGGGCACAGGGGAAACTTGCTGACACAGCAAGTGGTCTGGCAGCCAGCGTTTTCAATGCCGGGTGTATTTTTTTTTTCACTAATGGGAACTGACTTTTGACTATCAAAAGCAATTATATCCCAGAACAACTAAATAAAGGCGGGACTTCTTGCATTTGATTTTGAGCAGGACACATATAACACTCGCAACACATGAAAAAAAAATGCACAGAAAAATGTCTAAAAAACGTGAGGAGAGCATTTTTAGACAGTGCATAACCAAATGATGCCCACACTGCACATGTGAATAGTTTTTGAAAGCAACGCACTGTGTAACCGCAATTTTTTGGAGTTGCTAATGCTACTGGTAAGACTTCACATCCATTCCTTTTTTTTGAAGCCACTGCAAGCGCTTCCTACAGATTCAAAGAATTATTACACGCAAAGCACGAAGTGGTCTGGTTGAAATTTTACAATGCTACAATGAAAATATGCCAGTGGCGCTTCAAAAAATACAATTTCTGAAAGTCAGAGCGTCTTGGAATCCTTTAGGAACCTGCTGACTGCACCAATAAAAGTTCTGTGCATTCTTTCTTAATTACGCCCTCATTAGTTTTCTCAGAAAGAATGTGATGAAAAACAAAAGCACATGATTTTTTTAGGGCTACAAAGTTGTAAAATACGGTCCAGCGCCGAAAAAACTTGCAGCACTCATCAGCATGCGAAAGAAATCGCAAAATCGAATAGCTCAGCTGCTGCAATGTTCAAAGCAGTGAGAACAGAGGGGAGAAAAGCCACACTAAATACGTTTGGGAAATGAAAGCCTTCCAAGGCAAAATTTAGTAAATTTTAATATAATAGACACCATATTAACAATGAATCCTTAAGCACTATTTTAAGCACTGCCCAAGCCGAGCAGCAAAGAGAACTAAGGTACGATGTAAAGCCACCACAACATTGCACTAGAAATGCAAGTCTAATGCAATGCCAGAACAGGGTTAGCCCGCCTCACAAGCCTCTCCAGTGATAGGCGATTGGGCACAAAAGAATATTTTGCATAATATGCTGTACTAGAAGACAGTATGCACACTCCTGCTAATCACATCCATTCATCAACTGCACTCCCGCCTCTCTCAAAAGCAGGCAGAGAGCTCGAAACGTTCAACACGGAGATGAAACAGGAGTGGTATTGGGCTCCAGCTCGACGCAGCGTGCGAAACGCCTCGAAGACTATATAAAGGCCTCTCAAAGAAAATCGCAGCAAAGTGTACAAGTTAGGCAAAACTAAGTTCCAATGGTACCTGCAATGGTGCAGATCCGGCTAAGGACATAGAAAAGGGGGCAACAAAGACATTGGCATTCTAGCTCCGAAATTGGGAATGCAAAAAAAAAATAAAAATGAAAATGTTTCCTTGACATTCAAGCGCAGTACTGCAATTGTAAGCCTACAAAAGTGACAAACCTTCCTACAGTGCTGCCGCTTTGAAATGGTGCTGTTCAATGCTTCTCATCCCCTAATTAGGGAGGATAAAACATTCAACTCCACTTGTAACCTCAATAAAAAATTTTAAACTTTACTTATATGCCACTGTGTACAAACAAAACAAGGATCTTCAAGGCAGCAACAAAGAACAGCAAATTCATTCAGCCAATGTAAATAAAACGAAGGTAAAGCAGATAGCCTTAATAGGAAGGCCTCAACTGTTACAGGCAGAGTTGCAAAGAAACGCACCGTACGGTAAAGGCATACAAAATCCTATAACATGCCACAAACACCACTCTCGATGACTAAGCGACCGAACTGACGCGACAAAACTGTGCAGACTGTTCGACGTACACTTGAAAACTTCTTGGAAATCAAGGCTGTTGAATTACTCACCCGCACTTTCCATATGTTAAAAAGTCACTCCCCACGGTGGATGACTGCGAAGTGCTCGACAACACACTTGCTCCTTGTCGGAATTAAGAACTACGAAGGAGTGTCAAGTACGCGCTTAGACCTAGTTCATTCCAACACTTGCCCCTTGCTTCTAAACGCACTCAAGCTGTGAACAGTAGATGCAAAGGAAACTCATTTGGTCATACTCTTCTTGCTTTTCCTTCAACAGTGTAGATTTCTGTATTTTGTTACACGTTTTCATACATACAGTATGGTTTTTGCCATAAATTTTGGGACCAAACAGTATGAGCCTGTCTCTGCAAAAGCACAGCTAGACAACCGCAAATGCCGAGTCGTACAGCGAATTCCAGATATACCAGGCCAGTGGTAGGTCAGAAAGAATTTCAAAGTTGTCTTCCACGTGCACTAGATTTTCTACCCGCACACAACAATCATGCAAAGAAACTCATATACCAGGGCACAGGAAACTGTCGTCGTCAGGGTAGTCGTGTAGTAACCGTAAACTGCTGATGACACATTTTGTTTCAAACTCAGTGTAGGTAAACTTGGTTAAAATATGGCAAGAAGTCGAAATGCTGATACTAGACAAACTGGATCAGAAGCATTTCGATGAGGGACTTACCATGAGTTTGAATCCAGAGTTTGCCAAATTCGCAGCAGCAACAAGTGAAAAAAAAAAGGGGGGGTTAGTGCAAGTACAGAAGCCGACCATATGCCTTGAGTATTAATCCCAAAGAGCATTGCTTTCACGTGACGGTATTAGGGCGGCATCGTGTGTGTGTGGAGGCAAAAGATTTTAGAAGACATACGGGTGGAACACGCCGCGGTTTCGACGAGAGGGAGAGGAATGATAACATTGTGCTTAATCAGTTCGTATTCCTTTATAAGTGCTAGTGATGTCGTTCGTTGCTTGGATATGCACGCACAAACACACGAAAAGATCCATCAAAGTTGTTGTGCAACTCCTACAGATCACCACACAGGAGAAAAAAATGATAAGCTTGATTGGGGGCATAGATTGAAGAGGTATAACAAAAACATAAAAAGCTGACTGAATGGAGAAGTATGAGAAGACTGCAAAAAGAAATGAAGTGCGCCAGTACAGGCCTATAGTCGGGATACCCGACGTAACGGAAGAAAAGGAGCCTGCCTCGGCCGGATTCTTAGAAACTGCACCACTCCGAAGTTTCCTAAACGAGCGCATCATCTAATTGTACCAGTGCAACAGGTGATAAGGGGAGAGGATTGGGAGAAAAATTGTAAGAAAAACCCAAGCCGAGGCAGGACGACACACAAACAAGACTGGAGCCATGGTGAAGAGACGCACACACCACTTTCATAGTCGCTTGGAAAGCACTGCGAGACAGCAATCGCACCGTTCTCTCTTTTTTTTTTTTTTTTCACAGTTCTGACTTCAAATTCCAAATACCTGAACAACAAGCTTTCTCAACACTTGCATACTGTGAAACTTATATAAAAGACACTAGTAAAAAATGAGAACACACACACATAACATACATGCTGAACTGAAGAAGAGAATAGATAATATTCGCCACATTGTTTTCACTTCCATACACTGACAGAGGAAAGAAATAAACCAAGAAAAAAAAGAAAAGTCGCCACGAACACGCTCCAGCGCAGAACCTAGAAACAGGTGGTATGCAGAAGAAAAATCGCGTTACAGTCTCGTGGCACCCACTTTTTTTTTCCATTTCATTTTCCTTGCACCGGAAAAGAGGGTTCCGGCACAAATAGGGATCACGAAAGAGCAATAAAAAAAGAGCAAAAGAATAACAAAATCCCTAGACTTCCCTTGCTAAGCTTAAAAACCATTTAGGCCTGGACTTCACCCTCGACAGGGGTCATAGCACCGAGCGTGTTGTCAGTGACTTCCATTTCGTCGGGCTTGGCTTCGGCTCCGTCTTGAGAATTTACGTCTCCCCCGTCCTTCTTCGTATTCGGTGGCATCCTCGGTCTCTTCGAGAAGTGTTGCCGACGAGTTTGCCTCCCCTCCGCGGCTGGCAAACCCGTTAGTGCCATCTGGACCACGTGGTTGACGCACTATGATGATGCGGGGACCAGAGTCCTCCGTGGAGAGGGTTCGTAGCCGGCTTACAAGACGCTCTGGACGTTGCGTTGGCTGCGACTCTCTGTATAGACATGTGTGAAAAGAAACAAAAAGCAATGCAATGCTCAGCCACGTGCACTTTTACATGCAATTGAATTATGGAATAAGATACGGGTAAAAGCAATTAATGCCATTACAACAGCACCATTTACCGAGCTTTCAAACAACCTTCCTTTCAATTGTGAAACTGCTTTTATACTATCTCACCACGAAGGCTGTTACTTCTTGGGTGCACTTTTCAATTCGTGAATACCAGACATCTCAAACATGCAGCCCGCCGACCTATTGCTAGTAGCCCGCACATTAGAGGAAAACAAATAGCATCACCTGCTGGTGACGGTGCCACAAAAGCATTCGAACACAGTCGAGCCCACATATAACGGCCCCACTTCAAACGAACTTTCGCTTGAAACAAACAATATCATCGTGACCGCGAAAATGTACATTGTTTTCAATGGCACAAAATCGCACTTACAACGAACATCTCCGAGCCCCGCCAATCCCTTACAGCGAACGGAGTCAGTGCTCTGCTGACTTTTTGGGAAACCAGTTTCGATAACCAATCTGGCATCTGCGAGGTGCCTATAGCGTATTTACTCGAGCAATCCTCGCACTGGCATAATTATTGCACCCCCCACATCACCCAACAAAAATACAATTTCTTTTTTTTCCTTGAGTAATTATTGCACCCCCGAAAACTGCGCAATAATGTCGTCTGCTCGTTTCAGCCACTGATGATAGCGCGCACCATCTGGCGCCATCTCTTAAGCATCAAGCGTACTATTATTGCATGGAGATTCAATCCAATCCAAGCTAAGCCAAAGTGGCTAGTGCGCATTGCGGCGTTTTGTATGTTGTGTCGGTAATCTAGTCACGGTATGGGGCGATACAGAAGCTACATGACTGCTTTCAAGTTCAAAGTGATAGATCATGATCTAAACAACGCAACAGGGCCGTCGGTAGGCCTTTCGGAGCATACAAGCTTTGTGTTCGCTTCAGGTGGCGGCAGCTGAAAGCCACGAAAACGCTGCGGGCCTGCCGTATGCCTAAAACTGAGATTGATGATAAACTTAATTTCTTCAGAAGGAAACTGCAGCCTATTCTGTTAAAGAGTTATCAGCCCAATACTGACGTCCTACGCTTACCTTCCGAGGGCTCCTGTTGAGCAACGAACGCTACTGCCACGCCCGCAACGCCCACAAGCTTTGCTTATAGTATTCTAATTAGCGACTATTTGCTTGCACTTTTTGTGTCTCAAATAAATCTTACCTTGTGTAGAAGCTGTGCTTTTATTGTTGAGGTAAATTTTAGTTAATACTTCTCAAAGCTAGCTGTTAGTTCCCGGTGTGAGAATCACGATTTGCGGCAACTTCGTTTTCTTTTTCGCTCTGTACGTTTTTGTGGAAAGTTTTCCCTGCGTAATTCTCGCACCCCCCAGCTTTGCGTTGGTTTTCTGCTCAAAAAAGTGCGAGAATTGTGCGAGTAAATATGGTAGATTCCTATTATTAAACGCCGCCCCTGCCTTCGCGCCCCTTTAGTTGCCGCTCTCCCCGACCGCTTTTCGTTACGCACCCCTCAGTCTTTTGTCCCCCCGCTACTCTGAGCACCCCGCATTGCCAGACGAAGCCCTTGTTTTTACACTGCCTCCAATCTTTCGAAGACCGGTCTGCCATCTCCCCTGTTTTTGATCGCTGGTACTGTCGTGGGCATCGCCAGCATGGAGTGACCAGACCATTTGCAGACATCGTCGTCCACCGACTGTATCCGATCGTCTGCGTCTTGTCTTATCGTACCTCTAAAAAATATCGAGTAAAAAGGGTGTCTTTTTGTCCCACAACAATAATCGTACATCAGGCTTGCGTGCGCTCCCTTTCTCGAAAACTCTGCGCTGGCCACGTTCCAATCACGAATGCAATGTAACCCTGATAATGGGCACGGTCGATCGTGACCGGAAAGTACTGGATGCGGGGCGATAGAGCAAGGATGAACGCAATATAGATGACGATTATTGTTGTGGAACAAAAAGACACCCTTTTTAATCGCTCCTTTTTTTAGAGTATCGTTCTAGTGCACGCGCGTACGCTACCCTACCAACTCTGATGATTCGCGATTCATTTTGTGTTTAAGACCTGTTCTCGCTCCCTTCGCACTCGGCTCAGCATGCCTCCGCACGCATGCAGAAGCGTAAAAACGACCGTTAATTTGCGCGGATTGAATCCCAATATATCGTAGTCGGTGAGGCCAAGCGAACCCGCTGGTGCAACAAAACAATTCTTTGACCCCGGCCGCCGATGCATTCAACGCCGCGCACGCCTATCCAGGCGGCCACGCTTTGCGCGCGCAAGCGCTCCAAGTTTTTCTACGCGCGAGTTGCACATTTCGCGGACCTTTTAAGCAAGCTACTTGACCTGCCTCCTTCCCACGTGTTTTGGTTTTCAAGGTCGCCTTCCTGCCGTACCCTCCCCTCTCTTCACTTTATCGCAGCTTCTTTCCCTTCTCTCGCAAATATGCTCTCCTCTATCGCAACTCCCTCGCCGAGCTCCACTGCTCCGCAGCGCCAGCTATGCTGGCTGGAATTTAGAAGTTTCGTTTTCCGACTGGAAAGGGGCCCAGAGCTGTACCACGCGTTCTGGCATGTGTGCCGCATGTGCGCGTCTTGCTCGCTCTCAGTGTGCGCGTGTGTTGTCAGGATGACGGACGGGAGGCTTTGCACGCTTTTTCCTGCCGCTCAAAAAAACGTCGAAAATGGGACCGCTTGGCTTGGGCGCGATTCGAACATTAGGTGCCGCGCTGCGGAGCTCATAGCTGTTGACCACCTCGCAGCCAACTTGCCGCTCCGGGCGTCCCGGTAGTGGTGAATATTTCGTGGGCTGTGGTGACGAGGCACACGAAACTGTTTTCGTGAGGCCGACTTCGTGGGCGTCGGGTTCTATGCCGAGCCTGAAGCTTCCGAACAGGACTACTGCGGCAGCGATTTGTGACAGCGCATTGCTGACTCCAACCTAGGAGAGCAGGTGGGAATATGTCGCAATGGTTTCATTACGGCCGATGATGATACTGACACCGTGGAATCGTGCACGGATTAGGGCATTGAGAATGAAATACGCAGCAAGAGCGATTTAAAGGAATAGGATTGCGAGAACGACGAAACTTTGGAGCCAGTGCCTCATGCACTTTATGCCACGGGCCTTGGAGAAGAGCACCCCGCCGTTTGTAAACTCAAGACCGCCTTTATCGCTTCTGCTCTTCGGAACACGTAGGTCACGGACGTTTTTGGGCAAAAAGTTTTGTGTTTTCACCCGTAACTTTTTTTTTTTAAAAGCTGTGTTTCATTTACTACGAACTTCGGGCTACAGCGAACAGACTGCCGCGTCAGCTCAGGTTCGTTACTACAAGTGGGCTCGACTGTATTAGAGAATGCCTCACAAATTAGGCACCCAAAGATATGCGAAGTTCACTGTATTTATATCAAAAGTTTGCTTCCAATCTCTCAATTTTTTTTACTTGTCCATGCATACTTATGTAGTCTCGCAGAAAGCCAAATGAGCTGCTTGAAAAACAAGCGTGGTGCAAGGCAGAGCTAACCGATACTCCACGACGAATTACGCACAAACGAATCACACGCGAAAATGCGCAGCAAGAGAGCAGCGGCAGCATACCCGACTTTGACGACGCTGCAGGCAGCGTACTTCTTGGTGCGCTGGTTGTAGACCACCACAAACTCGACACGGTCGCCCACCTGCAGGTGGTTGCCGGACTTGACCTCGGACGTGTGGAAGAACAGCTTGCGCCCTTCCTCGGCCTCGTAAGAGAGGAAGCCGAACTGGCCCTTGATTGCTTCCACCGTAGCCTGTGAAGCGGTTTACAAGACACAGTGACCCTTCCATGCAAGAAAACTAGGGGATACATCGAGATCGCAGTGACTTGATGCACCCAAGGACACACGAAATGCTTCAGACGAGACTTTGCTATTACAGTACACCCGAAGCGGAATATGCGCAATATTCTGCTGGATCTTGGAAGTACAGTGGGCATAAAAAAAAAATCAAGAAACCATATTAGGTCAAACTGAACAGCACATGTTGCAGACACAATTAAGGGCAGACCACAAATCTGAATTCGAGGATATTTAAACAGTGAAAACATTAGGTTTTTTCCCTCGCGTATTGCGAATCCTAAATTTTTGCACAGAGACTATAAACGATAAAAGGTTAATTTAGAACATAGTATTTGTGAAAATTCTATACAATTAAGAACGTAGAGTGACAAGTTGCCCTAGGCAATAACGGTTCGAATCACAGACCAGCCAGTGGACTGAGCGCAGCCCAGACTTGAAATCATAATTATGCTTCTCAATGTCCCACGTGAAGATTGCTTGAACACGAGAACACACGGTGTTGCTGGAGTCAACCTTTTCACAGGTGGCTTTCTCTTCTTCAAAGCCCTGAAGAAGACAAAACCACTTGTCTTGAACAATGCGATGACTGCCTCGAACACAACAAGGCCTTTTAAAGGGACACACTGATGTAAGAGACAAGAGCGTACGTGAAACACCAGCATACTTGCATTGTAATAAGGGTAGATAAGAAAACACATTCGTAAAACCCTGCTCATAGGAGACACCTCGTATCCATTACAGTCGAGCCCGACTATATATTGAACCCGTTTATATCAAATTATCCCGTATATCGAACAATTCCTAAACACGGTAAGTTTACATTGAGAATACATAGCAAAAAGTTACTGTTATATCGAACGAAAATAGCAACGACAACTGATATATCAAACTCCATGTGCCTCAAAAGTGCCCCAGCAAGCTGGCTTTCCCTCGGGGTGGCGGGGAAAACTGCCGGCGGCACCATAGAAAAAGTTGGTTAGACTTGGTTGTGCGCGGGCGAACACCCCCCTCCAAGAAATGATCCTGGCCCACTAGCAGCGCTTACAGCCAATCAGAAGCCGTCGTGCTTTTTCCGAGGCGCGGAGGCAGTAGAAGTGAGCGCCATTTTTTCTTTCTTTATGCTTGTGTGCCTGCTGCTGCCGATTCAGCGTGGTCTGTGGTGTTGCCTGTTGGTGCTCTGTGAACTGTATTGGCGCGCTGTCATCATGGCTTGCGCAAAGAGGCAAAATTTACCGTTCGCCGCGAAACTCGAAATCATCAATCGGGTTGAGCGCAGTGAAAAGAAGTCCGACGTCGCCGCCGCGTACAAAATTCCAAGGAGCACCTTGAGTACTATCCTGAAGAACAAGGCAGACATCAGGGCCAAGTCGGACAAAAGGCCAGGTGCCCGTAGCGCCCGACATGTGCGCGCTGCTGTGTACGAAGATGTTGAAGCGGCCGTTTACAAGTGGTTTGTGGACGTTTGGTCGCGAAACATTTCGGTGTCCGGCCCTACGATCGAGCAGAAAGCCAAGGACCTTGCTTTTCTGCTTGGCAGGAATGATTTCCAAGGCAATTCAGGCTGGCTTCAGCAGTTCAAAGAACGGCACGACATCGTTGACAAAGCTGTTACAGGTGAAAGCAGAGCGGCGGACCTGGACAGTGTAGAAAAATGGCTCGAGAAAAACTGGCAAGATATCGCAGCAAGATATAGAGCCTAAGATAACTTCAATGTGGATGAAACTGTTCTATTTTGGCAAATGTTGCCAAACAAGAAAGACACTTGCGTGTCGTGGCGACAAGACAAGCGGCGGCAAGGCAAACAAAGCTCGTGTGTCCGTGCTGTTGGCAGCTAATTTAGACGGACCGAAAAAGCTTCGACCTCTGGTTATCGGGAAAAGCACGGCACCGCAGTGTTTTCGAAATGCGCTGTCGCTTCCAGTTACCTACCGAGCAAACTCAAAAGCGTGGATGACCGGGGAGCTTTTCATCAGATGGCTATCGTCGCGGAATGATGATTTCGTAGGCGAAAATCGCAAGGTGTGCCTGCTCGTGGACAATTGTTCACCGCACCACTGCAGTACGACCTTCAGCAACATCGAGCTGCGTTTGTTGCCCCCGAACACTACGTCTGTACTGCAACCACTGGATCAAGGCGTTATACGCGCAATGAAAGCCGGCTATCAGAAGCGCCCGGTGGAGAGGCTGCTGCAGAATCTTCATGTCGGCAGGGAGCTTAAGATCGACTTGCTCGGAGCTATTTCTATGTTGAGTAGATCGTGCGCAGATGTCAAGAAGGAGACGATCCAGAACAGCTTTAGGCATGCCGGCTTCCGCATGCCTGGTGATGACACCCCAAATTCTGACAGCAGTGCAGACACCGTAGGTGTTTCCGCCGAAGTTTGGAATGAGCTGGCAGAGTTCCCGGGTGCTATCGACGGATCGACATTCGACGAGTTCGTCAGTGCGGACGATGATGTCGCCATCACGGGTCAGCTGCAAGATGAGGACTACATTACAGACGTCGTGCCGACCACGAGCCAAAGCGACAGCAATATGGAAATCGACGACGGCCCATTGCCTACATCCTCCGAAATGATTAGTGCACTTGCGTTGGTCCGGCCCTATTGCTTGAATGTGGAAGGTTGCGGCCTCAGCTGCTCTGACTCGTTGGTCAACGTAGAGGCGTGCGTGCTGTCGCAAGCAGCGAAGCCGTTGACACAGAAAAAAATCCTGGACTATTTTGTTCCACAGTAGGGCACGCAAGTAAGCCACCATATTAATAAAGTACTTTTCTTCTAGTTTGTTATGCGCCTTTTTGTCAAAACCTATAGCGGGCCTATATCGAATTATGCCATATATCGAACTAATAAACGTTTTTTGGCGGATTCGATATACCCGGGTTCGACTGTACGAGAATCACACCCAAATGCACGTCTCTTATAAAGCGGTTCTCCTGTAGTCGAAACACAGGCTGCAGCGACACCTTGTGTTGAATCTATCACGTTTTTATGTTTCCATCTTCCCCCGAACTTCTGCCACAGGGGCACATACAACACACAAGAAGGCTCTAGATAACATTCTTTACAAGGCACTGCATCTATCACTTAAGGGGTTCAAAGGGTCTCAAAGGTAGAAAATTTTCCAAAAATTTTTTGAAGTACTTTTCTTAATAATACAGCCGAGCCCACATGTAACGGCCCCACTTAAAACGAACTTTCGCTTAAAACGAACAATATCCGCGTGACTGTGAAAATATACATCGGTTCAATGGCTCGAAATCACACTTACAATGAACGTCTCCGAGCGCCGCTGATCGGTTACAGCGAACGAAGTCAGCAGTCTGCTGTCTTCCCGGGAAACCAATTTCGACCACCGATCAGGCATCGGCAAGGTGCCCATACATTCTTAAGGGGGGACGCGTCCTTTGAAAACCGAAAAATCGCGAAAAAGTCGATTTTTTGAAAACCACATACTCGGGCAGTATGACTCATAAACTGCCTCTACTGTAAATATCAATGTCTAATTCATCGCGAAAGTACGTCAAATAAATTTTATAACGTGCCGCGGCAGCCGGCAAGCGGCGAGCGAGCGCCAAAAATACCCCAACTTCGCGCGCTCGCCATTTCCCAACCGCTCGGCCGATCGCCGCCATCTTGATGTTGTTTTGCTCGTGAATTCTTGCGCTTTTTTTTTTTCGCCACCCGCGGCAGTGGCGGTGGCGCTCCGAGGCGGGAGTCGCTCACGATTGGGGGACTCGCGGAAGCTTTCGAAGGTCCCGCTGCCTGGATGCGAAGCCGCGATTGGACAAAGCGCGCGCCTCTCGAGGGAATGGGGGAGCGCGCGGCTCCTATTGGCTGCTGCACGCGATGACGTAGCTGCTTCTCCGGCATGCGCCGGCTCGTCGTCTGCACCGGCGCTTGCAATGCCGGCGTTCTTTGTGTGCCCCGTTTGCCATCATTCCGATCGGTCGTCACACGTGCTCCTCTATCTTTCACCGTCTTCACGAGACGATCTTCTACCGTCTTCACGAGACGATCTTCTACCGTCTTTACGAGACGATCACTACCGTCCTCACGAGACGATCTTCCGCTGTGTTCACGGGACGCGGATTGTTGCGCTGACGGTCACGATGGGCATTTCGAAGTTCAAGACTCGGCACGCGTTCGGTTCAAGAAAGCGTCAGCTGAAGCTCGTACGCATGGCGAAGCTCACCTGCACGCCCACGCGCGGCGACAGTTGCACCGATGCTTCCGCTTCATCTTTTCAAGACGATTGCGTCGACGCTTCTAGCGACGAGACTTCTACACCATCGGCACAAGGATCCGTCGTGACGAGTGAGGCTGGTGTTTCGTGCTCAAGTGCGCCTGGTGTGTCGCGCTCGCCAACCGCATTAATTCCGGCCCCGAACAGTGAGACCGCGTCGTCGACTGTGCACATCCAAACACGTTTTCGGACGTGCGAGGAGTTGGCGACGGCGGAGAGAGAACGTGCTGCTGTGCAACGAAAGCTTGGCGCTATGCCAGCGACCGAGAGGAAGTTTCAAGCGATGATGCCTGAACCCGAAGCTGCCACCGCTACGACCGAAGGCGAGAGATATTTCCTCGTGCAAGGGGATGCCCTTAGCGACATGCTGTCCAAGACCCCGTGCCCGCGCTGCCTCGCGACCGGGATGAAAGTTCAAGGAGGCACCCAGCTTGGACTTGCCACGAAGCTTGAGCTGGTATGTCCACATTGTGGAATAGTTTCAAGTTCGTTTCAACATGCATCATTGATTGCTGTCGAGACAGCACTGCATGACGCAGTTTTGCGGTATAATGCCGGCTGCTACAGGGCCACCCAAGAGTTGTCGTCATCAGTGGGACTCACACCTGGCCACCTAACCATTCAACGAGCTGCGGAGAAAGACTCTCTGCGTCTGAGAAAGGCTCAGAAACGGATGAATGAGAAGCAGGAAAAGCGGCAAAGAAAAA